GACTCATACAGGACGACTTCTCTACTCAATGCATCGTAAGTCATGCCGGCCTGCGGAGATTTGTCAAAGAAATGCCCGCGTAGGGCCTCTGGAATGGCACGATAAAACAACTGGACCAACTGGGGCTCAGTGACCCCGTGGTCTAGGACGACTACCAAGTCGTCCATGGTACCCTTGAGTGCCTTGGCACTCCTCCACTGCCGGGAGTGGATCRTTTGGAGCTTATCAGAGGCTCTAATGCCTCGCGTTGGGTCAGCGAACCGCTCCTTGAGGAGCTTGAGGAATTGGGAAAGAGGAGTGACTTTGGAATATGCAACCAGGTTGTTTTCACAACCGGCTGTACGCGCAAGAGACGTGGCGAAACTAGCTGCTTCATCTTTGAGGGCCTGGAAGGCCACGAGGACTTGTTCCTCCGTTAGGATGTGCTGTAAGTAGATATAACTATTGACACTGGCCTCCCAGTTGTCAAAGTTATCGTCCTTCGTTCCCCCGTACGCGTCTGGGAACTTATGGGGTCTGCCCTCTCCTTCTACAGCGGCTGCAGCTTTGGCACCCTGAATGGCGCCCTCACAAAACTTCCCTATGTTGTCCCTCAACTGTTTGACCTCGCCCCCAATGTGGGTGACGATTTTGCGCGCAAAATCCCTAAACCTGGACTGCATGGCACTCAACGCTACATCGTGGCTCCAGCTTGCCTGGCGCTCCTCCATCCAGGCCTTGCTCAACACCTCTAGATAGCCCAGTACTTTGTCCCACTTGGCCTTATCATCTAGCTGGGCCAGCACCTCCGCTCTACACTCCTGAACCTTTGCCACTGCTGCGGTCATCTTATTCACTTCCTCTCTCATCCTCTTCTTCTCCCTCTTCATTCTCTGCTTCCATGCTAACTTTTGCTCGTCTTCCCTCTCTCTTTGTTCCATCGGGTCCGTCATGGCTGCTAACTCAGCGGACAGTGCAGCCTTCTCATCCTTAGTCACATATGACTCTGCCTCCTCGTCTTCCCCCAACGATAAATTAGCGACCCACTCGCTGATCTTCTTCTCCAACTCAGTAACTGTCTCCCACTTCATTGTGCCACCACTGCTCCCTTCTCCACTCTCAATTCTCATTCTCTCTTTCTCTTCTTCTGCTGCCGCTTCTGCTTCAGCAGCCTTCCTTCTTTCTTCCTCCTCTTGTTGCACTCTCTTCATCTCCTCCTCCAACCTCTTCATCTTCGCCGCCTGCTCGTCTGCGATAGCCCTTAGCTTCGCCTGCTTCTCGCGCTCTTTTCTCTCCTTATTCTCTCTGACTAAGGCGGCCATCTTTTCTTGCTGCTCCTTGCTATAGGGGTTAGTCTCTAGCCCAGTACGGGTCTCCACCATGGTGATAGGTGCACAATCAGGATGATTCCACTCCTCACCACGTAGACCGTAACCCCTGACTAACACAATCTAAGAACCCACAGAATCCTGACAAGGACCCTGTCAACTATGGTCTCTAGCCTAGACCTATGCTATGGCTGTCACTACTGAACCAGTGGCTGATCAGGAGGCATTTAAGGAGATCCCCCGTAACTCCTCAAGAATTCTTTAACGTCGCAGACAGGACGACGTGATCAGCTTGGTTCTGCCTGTGCTTTCAGCCCACAACTCAGCCTTTCCAGCCTACTGTGCCACACYGAGCAGCCCGCCGGTCTGTACCGGTCCTTGGGAGGGTTCGTATCCCCCGGGACAGTCGAGTCGTCAGACACAGATCATCAGGCTTACTTGGTCTGGTAGGGGAGTGGTTCCAACAGGCCCTCAACACTTAAAGACAGCCTCCGTTTCAGCCTGGAGCTCAGAGTTCGGACCCTCTACACTGAAACTGAGCAGACCTGCCGGACAGTACCGGTCATTGGGCTAGACGAGTTGTTTAAYGAGCGCTCGCCGCTCATGCCCAGGTCTCCAGATACCAGAGTAGAGATTAGTCCTACTAAGTCTCGTGCAGGTTTGGCAGCAAGGCCCTATCCTTCATCCACAGAGTTCTATGACCTAGGACAGAAGAGACTCAATGCAGAAAGAATAGACAGACAGACTGTACTCAGCAAGTACCAAGGGGTATGTGCACATCCATAGGGCAAGGGGCAGGCTAAGGGCTTGGCGAGATGTTACCAACTCCAACTTGGTCAAAGTCTTGGTCAATGCCTTGGTCAACGGCCTTGGTCAACGCCGGTCAACGCTGCTATGACCCTCGGTCAACTTCGGTCAACTCCGGTCAACGCCTCCGGTCAACCCTGTCGGTCAACCCTGTCGGTCAACTCCCCGGTCAACTCCCCGGTCAGCTATGGCTGCCGGCACTTCTTCCTCGCCAATCCCCTTCTTCTTCCTTACCTCCCTCACCGCCTTTCCCCCGCTGTCTTCTTCTTTCTCTCTTTTTTTTTTTTTTTTTGATCGGCCTCCTCTTCACCTCTTGGCTATGGCCGGTCCTTCTTCCTCCTCAGTCTCTCCCCTTCTATCCTTCTCCCTCCTACTTCGTCACTCCGTGGTAC